CTGCAGTTGCAGCAACATCAACAACAACACCAACACCAACACCAACAGGCTACCGGGTCGTGTCTTACGCCGGGAAAGTCCACGGCCGGCCTCGGGTCGGGAGTGGCCAGACCGGGCGCGACAACTGGCTCGGTTACCGCAGGAGGGCCACCACTGGCGCCGGGCAGCCAGCAGGGCTCCAGCAGCCTGCTGGCCATTGCAACGTGTAGGTATTTTGCCCATTCTCCCCATCCCATTCCCCCATTCTTAGCTACAGTCTTCACTTCTTTCCCAACCTGTTTACTTCTTCTCGATCACACTCTCCTCCAACTATTTTCCCGATTAGCCGGTCCCCATTTGTTCGCTGCTTTCGTTGCATTTGCGCGAATTCGAGTCGTTCTCTCGGCGTACTTGCGGCGTTTTAATGAAGTTAAGACCTCATTTTGAGTTTTAAACTCGCCTCATCTTCTCTTCGGCGCCCCAAACGGGATGCATGTGCACTTGGTGATCACCGCAACCGCTACCAAAGTGTCAGACATTACTTGTATACTCAAGGCCTACTTATTTGGTGTTGAGTAGTGTCGTCGATTAAAAGGGCAAATATAAAATTTGCCGTTTTGCCCATAGGCGAGAAGGAATGAGCAGTATAGCCTGGGTGGGAATACTTTTAGGTGAACAGGATTAAGTAGCATTTACTGGAAATGTGAAGATGTGAAGACCAAGATGTTGTGGCCTCGGGTATGGTCGCAGTCTCCTTTCGACTTGTAGAAGTGGGTTGACCTCGTTGTCGCAACTTAATCCTGTTGTCAGCGAGACTATGTAGAACCCACTTAATCCGAAGTCGTCTGCCATAGTAGTTGTCTTGATTCCTAGCATCTGACAGTGGACTTGATACATTCTCAAACGTTTCACCGGCATCGTAGTCGGTATCATCATCACCAAGCTACGAACTTGTCAAAGAGACAAGTGAAGTCAATCCTTCATTTAGATGATTGAAATAAGAAGTTGTGACAGGACGGCAGTGGGATAAGAGGGTAAAGAGTAGATAGATAGACAATGATAGAAAGAGGAGTGATAGTGTA